AGATGAAGTAGTCGAAGGCAAGTAGAATAGAAAGGAGAAAAGGGAGAAGAAAGCGAACAAGTGGGAAAGTAGAAGGAAGGTTAATCAAGGACAACAATGCACACAACAACACGCTACAAGGTTGGCATCACATCAAGTGTAGTCTGGACCAGTTGTCTACACACGAGAACACGAGGACAAAAAAGAACCACTTGCTTCAGCGATGAGTTGAGCCGACACAGTCTGGCCTCTTTGTCTGTCTGTTTGTGCTTGCGTTTGTGCTCGAGTGTGTGAATGCAATGGCTACTGCATTGTTGCATCGCCGTGCCTTCAACTGGCCGGTTGCCACGTCTACTCGGCCCCAACGCCATCCCGAAGCAGAAGCGGCCGGAGCCCAGTCGCTTTGTCCGAACGAGGCTGAAGAAGACACGAGAAGACACGAGAAGACACGCGGCGCGATGGTCGTTGAAGTGGTTCAAGTGGCCGACGTGGAACCAGCACAAGCGGACAAAATGGCCCGCGTTGTCGGCCAGAAGGAGCAAAGTTGTGCGGCAGCAGCATCAGATCGCAATCTGCCCTTCCTTCTCTGTCGCGTGTCATGACTATTTGGCATAATCACATGACCACACGACCCCACTTCCCATACACACCCAAAAAGTGTGTCTTTTTTCTCGCTGCAGAGGTGGACGCGCCGTGAACAATGCAACAAACAGTCGCCAATCTCATCCACATTTGCCGACTCTCAGCCACTTTTCGAGTAGAATGCATGCCTTTCCTCCACTTCAACTGGTCTTCGTCTCCAGACCCAGTCGCTCACCAGACGACGCACAAGAGTAAAAGAGGCCTTGCACGACCAGCCACACTTACATACTTACATACCTACACACACACACACCTACATATACAGACAAACTGGCAGGCAAGCAGGCAGCTAAAAACAACCATCTGTCCATCAATCCAGACAGACACACGAACATACGGACATACTTACATACATACATACATACAAACCGAGATCCAGTCAAACGTAGAGACAGACATGCAGTCAAAGAGGTAACCATGCGCCCACCAAGTGGAAGATGAAGCCGGCCAGTTTGATGATGTAGAAAAGTATGCGAAGCAGCTTTGGGCCTGTTTTAGGCAGCGATCTCACAAGTTTTGCCCAACCGGACAGGTTTGTGGGTGTGTGCACATGTCGGCTGCCAGGCGGGGGGTCTGATCGAGAGTGCAGATGCGTCCTTTCCTTAATTGTGCGGCTGTCCTTCACGCCACGTCGACAAGACCCCCTCCTGCCCAAGTCCGAGGCCTTCTTACCCGCCTTACCATCGTTGCTACCAGATCAACTGCCTTCACATTGCACACACACACACACACACACACACACACACAAGAGGGGAAAAGGAAATTCCCTTTTCGGTTCATTCATCAACCTGAGCACTGCCAAGCGCAAGGGAATGGCCCAGCTTGAAGGTGTAGACTGGTGGAGCTGATTGGTATTGAACCGAGTACTGCAGAATGAATGGAGTGGAGTGGAGTGGAGTGGAGTGGAGTAGAGTAGAGT